TTCATCAACAGAAGGGGGGGGGCGCTTCGTTTATTACAGTGTGACAGTGCAACTATTGGTAGTGAGTGGCACGTTCGTCTAGCACGATTTCGATCCAAGAATCACTCAGGAGGCTGGCATGTGACGAGAGGCAACCTCGATCATCAAAACTGTGTTAGTGTGGCTAAGCCATCACGAATCCAGTCAGTCAACAACCCTGTGGTCCGTGGTGCATTTGCAGCTAACCCAGCTACATCAACCTACGCTCTCGTCGCACAGCTTCGACACCAAAAGAAGGCAACAGCGTCACAGCACGTGATGTATCGCGCCAAGGACTGTGTGATGGCAGAGCTTCACGAGGGAGACCCGCTAAACATTCGCCTCTTGCCCAGTCTGTTGGCGGTATTCAGCGACTGAATACTGGAGTGTTGACGGAGGTTGGCTACACTCGGCAATTTTACCAGATCTCGTCCCTTTAGTGTTTAAACACAATTGTATCAAATCTCGCGAATATTTTCTAATTGTATCAGCTTTTGCAATAAACCCTAAAAACTATTGAAAAATAAAAAACAAAAAATATCCAACTCGCCTGGTTCGTTGTGTTCCATATGACTATAGCTACCGCATCGATAAACACTTTCTGGCGCGTCAACTTGCAGTGGCATGCTGCGATTCGATTCACTTCTCTTTTGGTCGACCTTTTCTTCTGAGCGAATTTGGTGGAAGATGCTCACTCTTTACCAGCTCACTTTTTGTCACAATTGCTTCTTTTCGAGTACTTTATCGTAAGCAAGTAGGTACGTTTTGGTTGACCACATATCCCCAAAAAGCAATTCTGCACAAAACTTGAGTGCTGCTATGAGGTTTCCATACGGTTATCGACCGTTGTAGTACTGGTATTGTTTGTGCCAACCACAAAGTTTTCTATGCTACGTATTCTAGCATTCGCTCTGCAGCACCGTACCTCCTCCGGTGATAACACCACTGGCTCAGCTCCATTTTGCCTTATTCGCCGAAATGCCATAATATTTCACCCCTACCATCCGAAGACGGGATTACCATGAGACTCCCATACGAGCTGTGTTGGACTTACTGGATTTATTGTCGGTTTGGGTGCACTTAGTAGTATCGACTTTAGCAAAGACTTTGAATAGTATACATTCTATCTCATCAGTCAATGTAGTGTCTCCCATATTTGTAATAAGTGGAGTTGAACCCGCGCTATCTTTCTGTTTACATTGCATCTTAACCATCACCTCAAGGCTACCCAAAATTTTGTACACGGTAAAATATCTATTCAAAAGTTTAAATCTCTATATCTTAGTTTTTGCATGCTTATTTTCCCCATTGTTGCATAAATATCCATTGCTAGGCATCCTCTTGATAGACTTAGATCTCAGATGGTGCCGTTGGGGTATCGGAATAGTATGTAGCTTGTTTTGGAGGGGAAATTTTGTTCCATTTATTTTGAAAAAAATGTGTACTCTTTTATTGTCCCTTTATTTTTATAAAGGAGTATGATGTTTTTCTGGATCTTTCAACATCATGTGATATTTGCAAATGAAGCACACAAAACCTCAACACATGAACTTTATTACACCAACTGGAAAGCCTTACGGTCATATTCATCTAAATTGATCAAAAGTCAAATGATACGAAGGTAATTTATACACCGATCAAAACTTGCTAGCCTGGTCCCTCGAACTTTTTGATTTAACTCACAATGAACTTGCATTAGTACAACCAAATAAGCGTTTACAAGAATCACGTTATCTAACAAAGAAGGTTGCAGCTGATAATGTCCTTATCAATGCCTTAAACAGACGTTTTGACTAAAGCAGTTTAACGGAAATAAGCTGGGTTATATGTGATCGCTGGGGTTTGTTTTGAAGCGCAACATTACCTAGAGCTTGATCTAGCTTGTCAAAGTTGAGAAATTATATTCCTCATTGCGCTCGCTAGAGTCTCATTATGCTTAAGAAGTTATCCGTAGATGCTATGTTTTCGGATTGACCAGCGCGACTGACTTTTGAAAAAGCTCACGACCCTGATTCAGGTCAGTCGGACTGGTGTCGGAATATACCACCGAGACGACAAACACTTGCAATCTAAAGCGGAGCTGCCGCGCATCTTACACAGAGAAAGCTTTGACCCAAAGAGTTTCTTAGCAGTGCACAGAAGATGAGACTACACACTCCACCCATCAGGGGACCAAAGGCTTCTCACATAATTTATCCTGACTAGATTTTCGTGAGAGTCAGTGCCTTTAATTGACATCAATTCTATTGCTGCTAGAATATCCCACCACAGAAACAATTGGTGGTAGCTGCAACGGGGGTTCCCGTACACCTTTCACCGAGGAAGCTTTACCTCAAAACGTTGACAATCACAGTACATCGAGGATAGGATCGTACGATCAGCCCAAGATTTACTAAAAGCTTTTGAGAAAAATTAGTACTTAATTGCTTCTACCAAGTATTTTTGAAATAACAGATGAATCTTATACTGAGCCGGGGAACGTAAGTGATGTACTACAAGACGCGAGGCATAAAGTGCTCATGCTCTATGGACCTCTCTTTTACATTTACCTATCGTCGTCATCAGTACCAGTACATTCATACTCGAGCCACGCACAATTGCACAGAAATGCAATGTACACCCACAGCATATTACGGAATGTACTCGGTCATGCCTAGTGGAACAGATGTGGTAAACGATTCTGTTAAGACCTCAGTTGACATGACTGCTGATACGCTGCATGAACTTGTTGCAGCTGGGCATTTCGTAAGTGTCGATGAGATTGATGTTTATCTAATCTTTATTTTTGGGTGGGGTTATAACAAGCACAGTGCAATCCACATGCATGTTATCATCCTTTTAAAATGGCGATGGTCAGTATAAAATCATGCGGCAGACGATGAGTGTTTTTAGAAGTAGTTCCGGACACCAGCAACTGTTTGGTCGCGCGTGTCCAATATCATTTTCTAGATAGCCACCACTTTTGAGCTGTGGCAATACAACATTACCACTTACTTGCAAATGCATAGCTGCACGACCAGCAACGTTTCCACAATGAACATGGAACCTGTCGTTTTTGAAATGCAGATTGCTTGGGTGAATACCGACTTTAAAGAGTGCGGCTCGACTGCGTTGATACGGCAAAACGATTCTCAAATTTCGAGACCGAGTGACTGTGTTGGGACTTGACAATGTCGTTGTTGCATTACACCAAAGTTCTGTTGCTAGATCACACTCGAAATGTTTACAAATCTTTCAAACGGGACAGGTTTACATTTCTTAACTCGTGAGATTTCTAATTCTTAGTCAGTTGTTGTACGCCAGATTCTTTTTTTGACTGTTTTCGTTTGTTTGTTTCAGTTCCAATCAAATCGAAATCGATATTGATCTTTAAAACATTCGATGTCGGTGTAAGCTGTCAAAAACAACGTTTTGATCACCAAATTTCGAAAAAGATGTGAGTCCTACTGTTTTCAGATGCTCTGCAAAAACGAATGTAATCTGAAGCTTCTCGTTGTTCATTTATCGGTGTAACCGTGCGCGCAGTCGCGACGACAACTTCTTGTCCGATTTTTCAACTCCTTGCCCAGGAAAGCCTGTAGCTGCGCTGAGCGCATGTCATCACCCGTGTATGCGGCGCGGATCAAATCCGTCCATATTCAAGTCTTGATGCGACAAATAGTTGTTTCTATATTAAATAGGACACTTTAGGTACCAGGTTATGCACGAAGAAATACAACGTAGCCTGGTTGTCTCATCGGCGAATCATGCCTATCAACAAGAAAACAACAGAAATGTTGTAGACTGTATCAAATACCCCCGAGACACTAATGTATATTTGCAAGTCAAAGTTCATTCGTAACTACTGTCATTTTCTACTAACTTTGTATTTTGAATCATTCTTTTCGTGCAAATTAATGGATTTAATCCCCTCACATCAAACGATAAAATATCTTGCTGAGCATGGTGTTGTGCATCGACACTAATGTGAACCTCTGATGTATCGACATTTTGAAGGAGTTTTTAATGTCCTTGTAGTTTTGAAACGACTTTGTTTTTGTAGATTGGAGCCATAAAGACATTACGACATCAAGCACGCGACAAATATTATGCAAAGAGATCTTATCTTGGCCTCTGTTGCACAAAATCTGAGTAAACACATAATATTGTTGATGAAGACATAACTCTAATTGCTTCTGTGATGTTAGCAGAAATAAATAAAACGTGTAAGCGATTAGAATTGCTGCTGGTCATGCGTCTGAATATGTTTTGAGCACAAAATATTGCTGTGAGTTTTACAATGTCACAAAACATTTCAAAATGTCGTACAAACACAACAAATAATTTTTTTCCACAGGCTATCACAAACATTTGCCAATTTTGAATTATAAGCTGCAGTTCGGCCAGAAATATATATCGTCTTGCGCGCTTCATCTTGGCAAAATACCGCCACATCTCGGAATACTAACCACCCGATAAATATTGCTACGATCTATAGATATTAAATTTACACTGAATCACAGGCCTCACATATTTGGTATGTATGCAATGCTTGCAGCCTAAACCCTTTAATGAGTTCACGCCTCCAGTAACATGGTCATAGAAGTGACGTCATACAAGCTACGATAATGGTTCGTTTCATTGTCATAGCTGCAAATACTGATCATGGATTTATAGGTATTCTTAGATACCGCTATAACCACTGGAGAATGACTCTCGCAAATGGGGCACGTCGAAGTCGTCAATGAAAATAGTTTCAGGTCTGAAATGTGGCTGGAAAACGCGCCAAGAGGTGATTCAGGCATCAAATTTCAACTTTAAAAAGTATTCTACCGGTCACGTGCGCCATGAAATTATGGGGGTACTTCACCGATTCGGAAACTGCTTGACGCTACACGTCCGCGGGACAACAACGCGCCATATTCACAAACTTCAAGGTATATTGGGTTCCGGTTTAGTGGGGTATCTATACTCCTTAGATGTGCTGACTTCGGACACCGACCAGTAAAGAGGCTAAAAGAGTGAGCAGAGGACTCTTGGCTTTGATGCGAAATCACTTATGGGAGAGGAAGAAAGTCGGAAAAGAAGATGGAACTGGGACTTTTACGTCTTCTCTTTGCAACCACCTATTCTACATCACATAACTATCGTTAATCGTACAGTTTTGATGACTCAATTTTATTGCGGTCCGGGTGGGGTTGCGAACATAGCCTGAAACCATAACACTTGCTATACGCGAGGTCGCTGGGATGCCGTCAGCCGCTGTCAATAGCTTGTGTCGTGGTTCTGGCAAGCCTTTCCCTATTATAAGTTCGACATGTTTGCTGTCAAGCAAGTCTCAAGATATAATTCTCCCAGCTTGATTTTTGGTGATACTTCATGTCGATATGCTTGGCTTGGTCGTGACTGACAGGATTCCCTCCCTGGTCATCTTGGGGCAACATCGATTGTCTTTGAAAATGGTGAGGTTTGATTTGCACTTGCTTGCCGCATGTAGAATCTCGCACAGCAAGCGATAAAATGATATGCCTTCTTGAACCGCCAAAGTTAACGCTATGTACTCCACTTCGCTGGTTGTCAATGACACGCTTGTCTTGCTTTTTGCTCCTTGAACTTAATATTCCACTCATCAATTGACGGCGTAGCCAGAAGTTGGCTTGCGATCGAAATGATCGCCTGCCCAGTCTGTATACAAGTTTTCATGAAACTCGACACAGTTATCAGGCCAAAAACAATTCTATGAGACTTTTGCTCAGCAAGTAGCAAAATATTCGCTTGAATGCCGCGCAGTTCTCAGCTTGTCGAGCTTTCAATAATTTGGCCGTGTTGCCATCATCAAATATGTGAGAGGGATGTCTGAAATTCAATCGAGCAAACAAATTGGTCAAAAGTCTCGTTCTATACGCGAAAAACTTGTCCGAGTCCATAAACTGCCTTGAACAACCCAAGACCACCATAATTTTTGGCAAGCATGATCCCTTCTGGTACACGCAGCAGAACCTTTCTTCATTTCACCGTAAATATCTCGATCCGACATCCAACTGATCAAGTATTTACCTGGGGTTCTCGATCGGCAAAACCGTTTCTGGATAAGTATCTCCATGTATTCGTCGCAAGCCTTTTGTGACGAGTCATATCTTGTATTATTTGCTTGATCTTAAATACGCACTAAGTACCGATCGAAAGTTGTCCTGATGGCACTTTTGAGGCTTGAAATGCTTCACAAGTCTGCATTGATTGCAAGTCCGCATATTTAGCTTTGCGAAAACGAAGCTGTTCAGGTCCACTTTCAACATTTTGCTAAACTTCGGCTCTAATTTATTGCTAGTCTCGACTGTGTTCACACTTTAACGGCAGAATACCGAAGTATTTGCTTCCGTACTAAAAAAAATGTATTCTCTGACCGGGTCTTCACCCTTTGCGCACGCGATATTGCATCTTATCTCGATGAGAGTTTCTTTCGGACAAACATTTCCTCTTTTCCTGCTACGCTATACTAGTGGCTTGACACTTTGCCTAATTGAACCTAATTTTGTGGCAGCATCTGCGCTTACCTGTTTGTTTGTACAAATAGTTGTCGTCTTCAATTTTGTGCAATTCAAACTTCAGCTTTGCTTTTTCAAAATCATCACTAATGTCAACTTCAGATACCCGGAACCTGACTCGTCAAAGTCTTGACCCATCACTACTTGCTGAGCTTGGCTGTCATGGACTCAATGTGCTCGAGACACTTCCTCATCGTCTACAAGCACCTCCACATGAGACCTCAAATTCCGTTCGGGTCCATTAATTCGGTGTTAAAACGCAGATAAAGCCGGACACGCATGAAACTTGGATATACTCGACGTTAGGTTAAGACTTGTGCGCGATTCCGAATCGAGTTTATTCTTTTTGTAATTGTGGTACAAGCCTCAGCTACACGGAATTCGATTATTCCACTTTGTCCATCGATCTATGGCGATTTTTGATGTATATTGCCGTTTGTCGTTGCGGAATAAAGCATACTGCGTCCGATTGTCACAATCGTGCATATGGCGCGCTGAGCTGTTTTGTAAGTTTTTTTAGCATATGGAATTATTGTGCTCGATATTTCTTCGTCTGCGTAGAACCTTTTGCGAACTCACGGGCTCCGTCATATCGAACAAACTTGACTTCATCCGAAGTCTGAATTCTTGATTTAAAGGTTTGATCGCATCTTTTGTGTTCAACTTGGTTTGTAAACAGTTTACCTTCTCACATGCGCTGGCCGCGACCACAATCAAAAGTAAGTACCTGCTTCGACCAAGTGATTTTGCTCCATCCGACCGAAAATGTCGAAATGTGACAGTTTAAACCAGCTTCTGCATTTGAGCACGGAGTGCAACGATTTCCATCTCCGACCGCGCCAGGCGCTCCACCATCGCACAAAGTGACGCATTCGTCTGCTCGACGGCTAGGAGCCGATCCGACAGAATGTGATAGTCTTTAACGTGAGGTAGTCCGAGCAAACCCTGAGGCTTATTGTCACTTATCAGAGTTTCTTGTAAATAAATTGGAACCATCTTACCCATTTCACGGCAGACACTGGGCGAAGCTGACACTGATGTTGCAGGACGGCCTTTTATGATTCCACCATCTTGCAAAGAACATTATTTAATACATGGCCCATTTCCGCTCGAAGGTTAACATTGTTACTTGACTCAACCATTTTGACAGACCGCTGTGCGGACAAAGCCAGTGTTGACCATCAACCAGGCCACATTCACCTTTTCTTTTTTGAATGCAATGTCCATGCTGGCTTCATCCAGCATCACTTACAAGCAGCCAATTTCTAGAAAAAGAGGAAAAAGAAAGCAGGTTGTTGCTTTTTTCTGATACATAAAGCGCATCCTTGATCTCGACATTGCGTATATCACAGTTGACTGGAACGTCTTCTCTTATATCCTTTCCACACTAATGGTAGCAATCTCAATTCCGTCAGCTACCAAAAGTTTGCCTCGGCCGTGTACATCTAGAGTATATTTTTACTTTTCCGAGACAATGAGGCGAGTGGGACCACGATCAATGACACGTCCCCGACATCACCTTACACGAAGCTACTTCACATTCCAGCGATAACGCATATGCGATTTGATCGTTACCTTTTGTACCGATACTGTAGGTAGCAAATTACGTGTGAGCAATTTCGCACGCCGCATCAAGCCCATCGATTGTCGTCTTTTTGCCAGGTCCAGACTTACTGCGATATGTGCACTAAAGACTCTTGCTCGGCTCTGATCGCCATTGCCATGTCATCAGTCCTAACTATTTTAGTTGGGGGTTTTATGTTCGTTTTTTAGCACTTTCACGCCCTCTTGTGTCCGTGGCTCTGCACTTCCCTTCTCCAAGTATAGTACGTCATTCTCGTAACTCTTTGCTAGACTTTGAAGCCCGCAAATTTTGTCGTTCTCATCACAATATTGGCGTCATTATTAAGTATCTCGTTGCAATGATGCAGTTCTCGTCCCCTTCCGCCATTTCTGAGCTATTTACCTTTTTTCTAGTAAATCCGTTTAACTTTCTGCGGTCCACCGTAGACCGCCTTGGTTCAACTCAAGGCAGCGTAGTCCTTTTCGTAGCCAACAACTACATGGTGACAGTCCGATTATATCTGCACTAGCATTCGGCTAGATGCAATTTTGCTGACTCTGACGTGCTCGTCGCTGCATCAATAAATGACGGAGTCATATCTAGATTGATCGCTTGCCACTCTCAATTGGTCGAGAACACACCACGCAGGCAGTGGCGTGATTCTCCCCATTCAGTTAGTCGGCAATCTGTCGTAGGGGTTCATAACCAGTAAAGTTTCGAGAAAGAGGCTGAATTAGCAAGTAAGACTTGCTTTGATGCAAAGACACTTGATGGAAAGGAAGTTAATTCGGATGAGATTCATTCATCGGGGCTTACACTTCTTCTTTCTTGCAATTAATACCTTTAACCAGAAAAAGTAAGAATAATGTCAATCCGCTGTTATATTTGGACAGGAATGTGCTGCGCACATTTTTTAAGCACCATAACCCTCAATATGATGATCTGGCGGTAGCATTTCAAACTGCAGGTGATAGTTGATGGTCCATGCCAGCTAAAAGTTCTGTTTGCCTTGAAAACATGAGCATACTTACTTGTGGAGAACGGAAGATCATGATATTGCATTCAAGATGAAGCGACTAAAAATTCTTGAGATTTACCCGGAGAAAAGGTTATATATAAAATGTGACCATCATAAATGAAAAGATCGATGATCCAAAGGTGAACAAGGCAACGTTCGAATTACTTATGGTATGTTGTTCAAGACATTCTTACGGTTAAGTGGAAACATCATTACCTCATAATTGAAGACTATGTGGCGCATAGTTTGACGGCTAGTTTTCGTGGCCTCATATCTTTGCCAAAAATGAGTGGGTTTTAATCCAAAATTGCTCCAAAAATTTGCATTACTATTTGAATTTTCCAATTATGCATCAACCCATCGCTAAATGCCAATATCAGCTTAAAATTTGCTACTGATTTACCAGCCGAGGTTTTTGCAACTCGTCTTGTTCTTGCGCGGTGCAATCGGATATTCATTTGAAGTGGTACAGATTCTAATCCGATGTGTACATTAGATTCATTCTACTTTGTACGTATGCTCTGCAATGCCTTCCAAGTTTAGCGCTTGTTGAAGATCAAATTTTACAGCTTGTGTATTTGCTTGATGTATTCCTTTACTTTTCAATCTTTGGCAAATACTACCAACGTCACAGCGAGGGACGACAAAGCCTTGTATCAGAAGAGGCTAATACCTTTTAGTAAAAAGCATCAAAGTTTTGGAATACTTCGAAATGCGCGATGGGATATCAAAACTTAAAATACTTTCCGTTCGTAACCTGGAATGAAAGAATGGCATGGTGAACCCTAAGCCCCCTGGAAATTTTTCATCATTTTGCAAAGATATCTATCGAATGGAGTGCCATCACGCTGGGGTAGCAATTACTGATGAGCTGTCCTCCCGATTTCGAATTGATTAGTTCTCTAACAAAAAAATTTTCGTGAACAAATGCGTTGCTCGTTTCTATGTAATGAAAACAAAGCTTTACTATCATTGGTGATGTAAAAAATATTTGATTTTTAAGTTTTGATCACTTACACCTCGTTCAAAATCTTTTCCGTGACAAGATCAGTTGATATCTCCTGACTTTAGAGTAAAGTGGAGTTGGGTAAATTACTTTCATTGGCCTTAGTTTGCCTAATTAACAAAGAAGATAATTGACAAAGTATGCATAATCCTACATACAAGTCATGTGGGCGGCCATGCTAGTGAGCAGTAGCAAATTGCGCGGTGGCGGATAATGCTTTCAATCCAATTGCGCAGAGAACGACAGGATGTTAAAGTGTAAAGAGGTGTATTGGTCAGATGGCGCAGGGATGCGTTTTCGAAGATTAAGAAGATTTGCTTGTCGAACCAGTAAGGTTCTTCTCGTGGAGGAACAGGGGAAAGTCTATCCAGCCCGAAGCTCTGCTTCGCGAGTTCGACTTCTGGAAGCGAAGTTGAAGGCAATACTGAGCGCTGAAAAGTGTTCTACGAGTGGATAATAAACATATTGGATCTGGATGGCGATGTAGGCGCATTTCAGTGCATCGGTGTTAAGTGCTTGGTCTCTGTCTGAACTGTGGTCCATGAACGACTTGAGAACCATATTGCGATGCGATGGAAAGCTTCTGCTGTCTCCCGTAACTAAAATTCCCGAACGATGTAAGGTAGTCCCACTTTTCAGTCTGGATCTCGGTACAGTCGGAAAATTGCATCAGCGTGAAACGCTGATTCTCTGCCAGCATAATGCAATAAAGCACACTAACGTGCTCAAGTCAATACCATACACTGAGGGTTCGAAACGTTTGTTGCATGAAGTCGTTATTGTAGACAGATGCATAACCGTAGGCTGAGCCATGGTAAATATCAAATGATTGTAGTAGATCAAATCATATTAATCATCCAAGTCCATTTTCATGTCCGATGCAGCTGCTCTATGTAGTCGAGAGGCGCTTGATATTTTGTGGACAGTGCTGTGAAATGGACATTATTTGTCCTCAAAGCAGCTTCTGTGAGCTTGCGAAAGTTCAGCTCATTGTAAGTTTTAGCATGGTTAAGTAGAAAACCTGCCGTAACAAGTTGTCACTTTAGTGCTTAACAGCTTCTTGTTTCGATGAAGCCATAGGGCACGTGGAACACAACATCCAATAATGTTGAATACAACTTGTATAGAAAAAACGGAGAGCTTAGTTGCAGTAGGCGTAAGTTAATAAACATTTGCAAATTTCACTAAAGTCCAATCAAGATCTCCTTCATGAGCTCGTCGAAAGGCCTAAGGTAATAATTCTATTGATATCGAGCTACATGACAATCCTAAAACAAGTGTTCGGCGTCTCTCGACGACTATACACACCAAATAAACAGGTGGTTGATATAATGAGATCTGTTATTCATTTAAACTTGTAACGTACCCTCAAATCATTGTGTTGTAGCTAAAATGTAACATCCGAACAAACCGGAAAGACTTAACGATCCCATGCATACTACACAGTCCACATCCTTGGGGCAGGCGTAAAGTTGGTCTTCAAGTTCAGTTGTTGCAATGGCAAGTCTGGATTTCTTTGGTATTTATGTGACTGCAACAGTAGCTTGACAAAGTCAAGGTTTTCCGTGTTGACAACACAGACTCCATCCATGGCAAGCGGCTTCAATTTTGTATGGTAGTGAGGGTCCGTAGTATGGCGAGTCTGCTGCATTAGTCAAGTTAAGTGTTATTCACTTAGCGAGTTACTGAACTTGGCTCGTGAAGTCGTACACATTATGCAGTAATGTCGTTGTAGCGAATGTACCATTAAGGCTGGCAAAGGTTAACGCCTAGATCCAAAAGCTTATCAATCGTCTCTGGACTGACACTGCTTAAAAGTGCCTTCATTATTCCAAACGTGGAGTGAGGATGAGTAACCTTATTTCATATAACATATGCTATGCATATGTTATGGCATATCGAAACCAAATGGTTGTAAGTCAAAAGTGAGCCGATGTCGGTGACATCAGGCGAGGCTCGTTCGATGTGGCAACTTTGGCTATAATGCCGTCTCGTAGACACTTCAAGTGCATAGGGTCATTAAAGGCTTTCGGTGAAGTAAGCCCAAGAACACCCTCTTTTACACTTGTTAATCTTTACTCTTTATCAAATATGGCGGGTTGAGCTAATGAAGCACATGTGTCATTTGCGCTGACAAAATTGCATTTTATAATGTCAGTTTGCTCCAGAAATATGTAATAGTAATACTCCTTGTGTACAAAATGGTACAGGTAAGATGATACGTTGCAGTATGACAGCCTTTCCTCGTAGGGTTCGTGCACAGTTTTGCCAAAGAGCACGCCAAACTTGTACCTTCTTTATGACCACATTGAATAGTTGTTCCGGTGAAAAAGCTGCTTCTTCTTTTACGCGAAATAGCCATGCTATTTCCCACGGAGACATCACTTTGACTTCGGCTGGCTTTCGTGGCACATGGTGTGAGAACCGCATGCTATTTTTTTGCAACAGTCTTGAACTAGGCCTAATAACACATAGGTTTCGTCAACATTAGACAACATTTCGGTGCAGTCTTTATCAAACGCTGGTATATAATGTTGAATGACTGTGCCGTCGACAAGTACACTTTTTGAAGATAGCTTCCGAGAAAATCTATAAATGGCTTGATGAAATCAACAAAGTGACCAGGCCCCTTGTCTAACTCTTGCTTCAGTAAAAAGAGATCATAAAGGCAGCCATTGATAGGAAGACTGACAGATGCTTTTTTGTAAGAAGTATTTGGAAAGTCGCACCAAAACCGATGTGTTTATGCACCATATTCAAAGCTGGCCAGAGAACACTATCAAATGTTTGGCAACGACACACGCATTCGGGTACGTGTTTTGCAATTTTCTTGCAAATTCTGAAAGCGAAATAATGCGTGAACAGACCGTCCTGAAGCGAAGACAATTTGGTCTTCGTAGATAATTGACTGTAGAACTTGACATACGCGCCACTATTTTATTGGGGCATCAAGCATAACTTGTTGAACTGCTAACAGACGGGACTTCGTATGTTAAGGCAATGTAGCAATCGAAGTGGCTGATAATTTGAAGACCGTTTGTCGAAATAGTCAGCGGACGTGGACTGGAAGATCGTGTTCCAATATTTTTGCTAGCCTACAGCAACTGCTGATTGGTCATCACTAACCGTTCTGCCAGCTCTAATTGGTGAACGAAGGCAATTTTGATGCGGGGCGCGAAAGATGAGCGTTGCTTGCACACTTGAGTGTAAGTCTGCAGCAATTTTTTTATAATATTCATTCCATGCCTAGATGGAACTTGAGACCCATCTTGACATGTTCTGACGCGTTTTTGTTTATTTTTGTAGGTACGCCATTGACCAAGTCGGCAACAGTTCTAACTGCACTTATCTTGGCTACCTTCATCCGTTAGTCAACTTGTCGAAGCTGCTTCTATCCCTGTCGAAGGTACATGCACTCTGCCCGTTTATGGTTGTCAAGTTAGCATTCAAAATTTGCCCCCGGGAAGATCTTAATACGGTTTGCTAGTGTTTGAGCTGATGTTGCACGATAGCACTAAACTTGCCTCGTAAAAGCCAAGCTGGATATTTCCAAAGTTGACGTTCACTGCTTTACATAGACTTTGATACAAGGCGTTTTGTGAACGCTGTGTGGTCTTTATTTTGTCACTTGCGATTTTGAATGTGTTGAAGTGGTACCTCTCGGAGTAAGTCAGCCACAGTAAATAATGTTCCGATCGAATTCTCCGCGAAGTAATGGTAGAGCCCCGTATGCCTGGAATCACATAGCGCTAGGTATCAACTGAATCCAGCGTTCAAACCAGATCGCCAAGTTCGCCACGACCTCGTCTCAGATGTGGCTTATCCGCAGCCGTCTAAACTTGTAAATAGCTATAGTAATGTTGAAGTTGCCTACAACAATGTGTCTTATATTGTCAACCGCACCTACTTGGCGCCCTATTTTCTCAAGGTGGAAAGTAAGAGCTCAAAACGTGGGTATATCAGGCGCATACACTACGTGTGTGTATACCAATGAAGAGTTGTCTAAAGTAAAAAGTAACGCATGCGTGATTCTATTTTGTAGACGCTAGACGTGAGGTCAACTACCTCGCCAAATGGGGAGAAAATAGACAGCAGAAAACCCACATCGTGTCGCCCGTTAAATGTTGGGGGTCGTAGAATCAGACCAAAAGTAGTATGCTCCAGAGTCCGCTACCTGAATAAAGTGCCCGTTGTGTTACATAGAATCTTCTTTTGTGACTTACGTCATTTGAAATTTAGCGCCGTGAAAACATGTTAAGGCGTGGAAATGTGGTAATGTGATCACAAAAAGTATCCGGTAACATCAGTACGAGCGATGCACTTCAAAATAAGCTCGCTCCATATTATAAATAGAGCATATTATATCTTCTTTGGCGCTAGCTGTTGTGGAAGCAACGCTTGTGCTTTCCGTGGATCGACATAAATAGACGGTGCAAAGATAATGACGAATGGGTCACTTAGTGCGCAGTAACAAGCGGCATATCGCGCCTTTTCATCCTAAAGAATTGTCTCCACTCATTGCTTCGAACTTCGGCAGCTTGTCGCCAAACGAGAGCGTAACCGGAACATGAAGCCGACCGGTTGTCAGTTGTCAAATAGTGCGATAGATCGCATGATCTGTCACTATTTGTTGCTACAAGGTAAGATCTTAAACAGCTGATAAAAGTACACAGATCAAGCTTAATTAGTCGACAGCATATCTCCATGCGATGTGATATTGAGAACATTTGCTATGGACTCGGCTATCATCCTGTCGAGTTCCGCTGTAGAAAATTGTTTAAATTTGTCCAGCAACCGGCGAGCTTATTTGAGAGCGCGAATTGAAGACATCGGAGCAGTAATGTGTCATTTGTAAGACCGCAGAATCACTCGCATTCTTTTTATTCGGTCATACACAAATCAACATCAGTTGACAGATGGCCTTGCAGCTATCAGAAGTGCAGAGTTATCATGACCGCCCGATCTCTTGTCTTTAGCATGCAGTATCACAGGTTGAGCCTTGCGATTGAAAAACCAGTAGATATCGCGACCAGGTAAATTGAACCGAAGTCGTTGCAGATCAACAAAATATAACTTGTCGAAGCGCGAATAATTTCGTATGGTTTCGAACGTACCGCATACCCTGAACATAACACCCCCGAGACATCGAGTGCCTCGTCTAACGTGGAAACAAATCCAACACTTCGAAGAAGATGAGAACAAAGTCCACGCACGACCCAGGCGAGGCAAGGGACGACGAACAAACTATGCTTGTATGTAGTCGAGTCATGGGGCCTTTTCTTGTACTACGTGAGTGGAAGAAGGCGGCTTAGAGCAGCCAGCGACTGGGATCTGAATGAGCTTATGCTGAAGCCTTTTAGTCCCAGGCCTCATTTTGTGCTCGTACAATCGCTTCCTACACTTTCTTCTATGTTGTGATGTGTTATTTAGCGGCCGCCGAGTTTGCTTACATAATAATCATCAAAAAGACACAGCTGCTGTGAATATACCGTCAATTTTCCCTTGATTACTGATTACTGTGCGATTCTTCAAGTCGAATATTGTGTTGTTCATTTTTTCTTATGCTGATTCCATTTTAAAACAAGGGTGTCTTAGTACATAAGCATTATCGTTTGGAAATACTTTCCATAATATTCATTACAGTGCTTGTGACTTGCAATCTCATTGATTAAAGTGCATTCTATACGATTTATTCTTGTGTCTTACTTCAGAATTCATATTGACTTCAAGATTCTTTTCTAATATCTAAGTGAAAGCTGTACGTATTAATTATTTTGTAGTAGCTTAAACAAGTTGTTCGACTTATCGATCGTATGGCCTCATGCTGACGCTAGTGTAAAGAGTTCATGTAATATCACAGAACAAGCTTCACAATGAATCCAAAAGCTGCATCGATAGTCTTTACTCAATATTAAGCTTCTCGCGCCGCGCGTTGACCTCCTGGTCTACAATATCTTGCGGTCGCTCAGATGAGAAAAGATCGTGGCCGGCCTTTTGCTCTGTCAATACAAAAAAGAATGAGAGCTCGGCAATATGAGATTATCATGCGATCGACCACGCACGTTTTCGTAGGACAGGGTAGGCGCAAATGGCTAAGCAGATGGATGTACCAACAAACACCTTACCGCCCTGGCTTAGTGGTAGCTTCTCTAGAAACGTCAGCAGCATCCTGTTAGACTCGTGAATTCGCTGCTTTGTTGTGTAATTCGGTCCTGTTAAAGTCGGTTAGCGAAATTGACGGGTAATCTGATTGGTCGCACAAAGTTAAGGTTATTAACTAGGGTGGACCGTTCCAAATGTTACTTAAGTGCTGCGTTGAAGTAGGTTCCGGCTTGTACTTCAAGTATTACTAGCGAATACATTTAATACAGCTAAGAATTAGTATTAATGTGCCGCACGAATAAAGCACCAACTTCAAGCCCTTTTCTTTATGACCACGATGATCATATTGCATCATTCTTTGGGCAATGTGCTTAGCAGAGCAAGTACAACGTAAACAACGCACAGCTTACGACAATTGTGTCACCTTGTTGACGTCCACTTGGAATAACAATTGCGCCGTCATCATGGGTTGCTTGTATACTATTTAAATATGTGACATGTGTAAAACGTTTTAAAAAAACATATTAAAAAAGTTAAGAAGGATTAATATCTGAAAAGAGAACGTCGCTCCAGAGTCAGATAAAAAGCTGCTGACCTGACATGGAACGCCATAGCGTGATCTCACCTACAAACGCTAACAGCTTCAGCCACGCTGCAACACCACCTTCATCTCATTCACGCGTTTCAATTAGTAGTCGACTTAGTATATTACCTGATGATGCATTCAAGCGCGAGCCTCATTGTGGCGTGTGCACAAAATCGTTTAATATTCTACGTCGTCGTCATCACTGTCGTAGTTGTCACATTGCCGTTTGCAAAGAGTGTGGAGGTAAAGCTATTGATCGTACGAAACCTGAACGTACGCGACCGCAGTGGTACTGTATGAGCTGCTTGGATGATAACGCCTCACTCGATATAACTGGCTCACGCCCTCCTAGTGGCAAACGTCGCAGCTTTTCTACATCGTTTAGTGCCCCGACGAATGCACCGCAAGTCACAAATGTAAGTAATTTACATGATCACTTTGACGTGAAAAGGGATCACGTGTTTTTTATGTCTTGTTATAACGGGTGTATGTTTTGATTGACAGTTGACGAGTACAGCCAAGTTTTGTATTGAATGTGGCTACGAATTGCCACCTCGAGTGAAATTTTGCATTGAGTGTGGCACATCAGTGCGTCCTCAGGTCATGTCACCTGTGAGTGTTGATAGTGTGGGAACAGCAGAAGTGGATCGAGGAAATCGAGGCTTTCGAGATTCGTTGGGATCTAATCTTACGGTGATTGAAGAAAATAGTGGATCTCCTACAGAACCAACAGATGGATCAGATGATGGTATACCTGTGGATCACGGACTTGAAGATGCTGGGTATCAAGAAAAAAACGTAAGTGACGAAAGTCTAGAGAATGACGATACGTGTAAAGCAAAAGAGTATGAAGAATTAGTCGCACAATTGCAAGTGGAGAATGAAAAATTACGGAGTCGCGTGGAAAAGTTTAAACGTAAGATTTCAGAGGCTGAACGTCAACGAGTAGAAAGGGAGGAGGAGCATGCACGTGCTTTATCAGAAGCTGCAGCCGCAGCAGCAATGGCTTCTCCTGAAAGACTGACAGACATCCGCAGAATGTCGGAACCTCCACCATTGACTTCGACATCTGTCTCAGTGAAAAGTGACCCTACAAGCAACGGAATAGGTGTCGCTGCAAAAGATCATCCAGATTACATGAAATATTTCAAATTGCTGTCCATGGGACTTCCTGCAGACCAAGTGAAGCTGAAAATGCAAGCTTCAGGTGTGGACTCGTCAGTTCTGGATGACCCAAACGCAGTTATTGGAGGAAACCCAACCAGTAGCGCTTTAACTTCACAAGTTGAAAAGAATGGCGTTTTGGTTAAAGATGACGAGCAATATGCGAAGTTTTTCAAACTTTCGAAAATGGGAATGCCTTCAGAACAGATCAAATTGAAAATGAGCGCGAGTGGCCTGAATCCAGATCTGCTTGATACACCAGATGCACTTTTGTCTGGATCGAATGGTAGTTCCTTATCTGCTGCGGATCCTAATCAGACAATGAGTGTGATGGACGATCCTGTATATCAAAAGTTCTTTAAGCTGTTAAAGATGGGGATGCCGCATGCGCAAGTAAAGCTCAAGATGAGTGCCGCCGGTTTAAATGCAGATTTGCTTGACATGCCAGATGCACCATCTCCGAATCAGAAAGCAGGCGGTAGTAATGGCGGTCTCTTGGCTGGACTTCCGCCTCCAGCGGCAGCCGTTAAAGTTGATACCTCGGCTTTACAAGCTAGCCTGGCCTCGAAGGCTACACAAAAATCAGTACCTAACAATAAAGAAGAAAGCCAATTACCAAAGAAGGAAATTGTCAAGCCAAATGTCGAGCTAAGGCCGCTTTTTTGGACCCGCGTGCCTGTCAACGTCGTGAGTAGAACTGTGTGGATGAAACTTAATGACTCGCATGCTGAGCTTGATGTGGATGAGATGGAGTGGATGTTTCGCAAAAATCCCGTCGATACATCTAAAAAGCAAGACGAGAAGAAGAAAGACGCTGATAAGGTCGTTGCTCAGCCCAAGGAGGTGCTTTTGTTCGATCCAAAGAGACAGCAAAATATTTCAATCGCTATCGCTCGATTTAAATTATCGTCAGAGGATATAAAGAAGTCAATCTATGCGCTGGATGGTCAAAAACTTGGCAATGAAGTGTTGAATGTATTAATATCAATTTCTCCAACACTGGAAGAGATTGACATGTTGAAAAACTATGACGGTGATGTTAAAATGTTAGGAAACGTCGAGAGATTTTTTCTCGATTTGTTAACTATCCCACGGTATACTCAGCGAATTAAATGTTTCAGATTTAAGCTCCAGTTTGAGAATCGTATATTAGAAACACAGGCGCAATTGGATACACTGGTCGCAGCTACCGAACAAGTGGCTGAGAGTGACAAATTTCGTCGCGTCTTGGAGCATATTTTGGCCATTGGAAACTATTTGAATGGTAGTACACCTCGTGGTGGTGCGTACGGTTTCAAGCTCGATACTTTGATGAAGCTGCACACGCTGAAGTCAATCGATCCTCGAGTCACATTGATGCACTTTTTGCTGCGTCAATTAGAAGAAAAAAACCCTGATGTTATCACTTTTGCCGGCGAAGTGCCTCATATCGTGGAGGCAAAGCGTCTGTCACTCGATCAATTACGTGCTGATCTATCGTCGTATAACACTGAGTTGGCTATGCTAAAGGGTCAAGTTCGTGCTTCTCAAAATGATCACATTGTTGGAGACAGGTTTTTTGAGGTGATGACTCCATTTGCTAAGGACGCAGAAGAAGTTTTGGAAGAACTTGGACGCGATTTTAATGGTCTAGAGACTTTGTACCAGGAGCTTGTGACATCCTTTGGCGAAGATCCACGGAAAGTTGGTCCTATAGAATTTTTTTCCATCTTGGACGAATTTGTGAAAGAGTTCAAGAAAGCATACCGTCAGAATCAAACAAAGGAATATCAAGCCATTTATGAAGAGGCAGCAGAAGCTCGCGTTGCTGCAATGGCGGAAAAAGCTGAACGGTTAAAGCGGGAGGCTGAGGAGCTTCAGCGATTAGAAGAAGAGCGACAGCAGAACTCGCACGAAACCAAGGCGATTTATGCTGAGATTATGTCCATCATCACAATTTGGGCTGGAAAGCATTCGCCAGGGAACGAAGAGACACTAATTGAGCAGTTTAAAGACACTTCGCGAAAGTTTGGAACAAATGAGATAACAGGTGATGAATTTTGTGACAAGGTGCGACAGTTAATTGGATCGAAATGCGCCAGCAAAATCATATCCAATTCGGTAAATCTTATCCAAGACAAGACAAAGCAGAATGAATTGCTGGAAGCATTTGTGCGATTTAAGGAACAAGTGAAGAGAGAAAAAGAGTTGAAAAAACAACAGCGCAATTCATTAGTATCTCCATCGTCTGGACGTGAAAGGGCAGGATCGTCTTCTGCTGGTCGCAGACGAAAGGTAGTAATTCCACCTGCAATGAAAGACATTGAACCTGTTGTCGGAGAAGAGGCCCAGCTACTACATAAGTCGATTTTAGAGTCAGTCTTGGCTGCATTTGGTGGAGATACGAAGAAGATGAAGTCGTTTACATCACATACTCGCAAGTATGGGAACGAGCAAATTACAGCGCACGAATTTTACCAATATTTAATGGATTCATTTGACCCGGATTTTGTTGGACGTCTCGTGCCAGATCTTGCCCGATTATTGCAAGATGCAGAGAAACGGCATGCTTTGATTCGAGCATTGTGTGAGAGTGCACCGGGCTGGGCAAAGTTTGCGGGTTTATAGTTGGTTATATTCGCAGTTTATTATTATTCAGTCGAAATTTTAAGACATTTGAGTAAGGGATACGTAAAGGAACTTTTGATAAATTGGTCATTATGCTACTTTAAGAAACAAGAGGAAAGTCGCTATAGTGTTTCGGTCGACGCATGGCTACTTCAGGAGATATACTCCCCTTGTTCAATTTTGAGCGCCACAATTCTTGCTGATCTTTGAGGCCACAGACCCAACGCTTCATATCACCTTTACTCTCAGCGCGTAAAAAGTAATTGCGTTCAGAAGTCTTGATCACAAAACTAAAGACACCATGATCACCATTTTCAAAGCGTCGAATAGACTCAATCGTTAATAAATCAATACTTTGTGATGCCTGTTGCGAGCTTTCGTGTTGGTAATATTTTAATTTTGTACCTTCAAGAGCGAAGAAACGCTTGTTCCACTGCGGCGTGAGCAGACGTTCCTTTGCTTTCATTTTGTATAGATATCCACTGATAGGAACGGGACCGCGCTCAAGTGGATTTCTCATGATGCGGATTTGACACGTGTTACGGAGATAGCTAGTCGTTAACTGTTGGGATCAGTTCTTCTCTCCATATTGGTATTGACGTTGCAGATTTAAAAACAGAAACTAAAAATACTGAAATGAAGTATCATTGATGTACATACACCAAGGATACGTAAGTGTTGAGTTATGAAGCATTTTGTATTAATGTCCAATGCAGCGCTAATCCTACTGGCCTTGTTGCTTCTACTTGCTACTTCAACCATGGCGTCTGGCTCTCACCCGCTGACACTGCGTGTGGATTTACAACAGCAGCTTGGATTGATGGATTCAGTCCAAGGACCGATGACATTACGTCTATCTAATCATCCGACATCATTAATTGAATTGCATGAGACGCTTCATCGACACTTACTGGAGCGTTTGTCGCAATTAAAAGATGATGAACTCGATCGTAGTAAAGATTGGGGCATGACAATTGAGGTATACGATCAGAAGTTACAGCGATTTACGCCGCTTGATGATCTTTCCCAGTTAGGAGAGCGCCGATCAAGAGTAAGTATCACACTCACAAATGCGAACGCTGTGTTTCCAGATCATACGTGTCTAGCACTACCTTCGAGATCTTTTGGTTCTGATGTGTCTGTAAGCGACTATTTTAAAATTGATGGAAGAATGGTGCATATTGGAGAAATTGGTAATTCTGGTAAAGGTACGGGACTTATAACGTGGGATGGATCGGTGGTGTTGGCGAAATATTTAGAACATGAACGTCGTCGTGATATTGCTGGAAGTCGTGTTGTTGAGCTTGGAGCAGGAACAGGGCTAGTGGGTATTGCTGCAGCCTTACTTGGAGCAAAACAAGTGATCTTGTCGGATCTCTCTTATGTCATTGATAATCTTGCTAAAAACGTAGCGGAGACTAAAAAACTCGCAGATGCTGTCGGCAAGCCAATCCAGTGTGATATATTAACTCAAGAGCTCGACTGGTTTAATCCACCGACAGACTTGAAAGACATTGACTTCGTCTTGGCATCTGACGTTGTCTGGATTGAATCGCTCATTCCACCACTCGTCAAGACTTTTGATACGCTACTGCGCCACTCAAATGTTAAGACACGAATTCTTCTGGCGTATCAGAAGCGTAGTATCATATCGGACCGACTTCTTTTCAGTGAACTTGAGCGCTATAATTTAACTAAGACGTGTATTCCGACTAGCAAGTTAGATCCCAATTTCTCCACCGATCGCATTGACATATGGGAAATTGAACGAGCGACACCGAACACATTGGTCGAATAAATGACAAGCGTCCAATCTGCTTGATGTGCATGGCATCCAAACATAAATTTCTCATATCCATTCATCTCGATACTTAATATATTTGCAATCAAACCATTAGTCTCTGTACTCTGTAACCTGTTTAACTATATGAAATGTTTATAGACAGTAACCTCACTGTAACATTTACCATCCGAGTCAATAATGTATGGCTTTCTCCGTCCTTACGCTCGTCGCGCGGCTTTCGTAACACGCAGAAATGTTAGTTCGGAGAGTCTGAGGTGGAGCGCTGCCATGAACAAACCATTATCCGAGTCAGATCCGGAATTGTTTGATATTATCGAACGCGAGAAGCAGCGCCAACGCGATTGTATCAGTCTAATCGCGTCCGAAAACTGTACGTCTGTAGCTGTGTTGAATGCTTTGGGTTCTGTCATGTCGAACAAGTACTCGGAAGGCTATCCAGGTCAGCGCTATTACGGTGGCAATCAAATTATCGATCAAGCCGAAGAGCTTTGTCGTGCACGCGCTCTAGACGCTTTCAGACTGGACCCTGAACAGTGGGGAGTCAACGTCCAATCGCTTTCTGGATCGCCTGCAAATTTTCAGGTGTATACTGCACTTTTGTCACCTCACGATCGCATTATGGCTCTAGATCTACCACATGGCGGCCATCTCTCGCATGGCTATCAACTTGGACGAAAGAAGATTTCGGCCACTTCTATTTTCTTTGAAAGCATGCCTTATCGACTGGACGAAAGTACGGGACTTATCAACTATGACGAACTTGAAAAGACGGCTGCGTTATTTCGTCCGAAGCTTATTGTAGCAGGTATCAGTGCTTACTCACGCCATATCGACTATGCGCGGATGCGTGAAATCTGTGACCAGCAAGATGCTGTGCTACTTGCCGACATGGCTCATATTAGTGGCCTTGTCGCTGCTGATGTTGTACCATCACCTTTCGAGCATGCAGACGTAGTAACTACTACGACGCACAAGTCGCTTCGTGGACCACGTGGTGCCATGATCTTTTATCGCAAGGGTGTTCATCATGTTGACAAGAAAAGTGGAAAAAATGTGATGTACGACCTTCAGCAAAAGATTGACTTTGCTGTATTTCCTGGCCTTCAAGGTGGACCTCACAACCACACGATTGCTGCATTGAGTACGGCGCTATTACAAGCGCAAAGCCCAGAATTCAAGGCTTATCAGTCGCAGGTGCTTGCGAACTCTCGTGCTATGGTCTCGGAGCTGATGAAACGTGGCTACGATGTAGTTTCAAATGGTACGGACAATCATTTGGCTCTTGTAGATGTCAAGAAATCGCGTGGTGTCGATGGTGCCCGTGTCGAGTTCGTACTCGAGAGTGCCAACATGGTTGTGAACAAAAACACGGTGCCTGGAGACAAAAGTGCGTTTGTACCCGGTGGAATTCGTCTTGGTGCACCTGCATTGACGACACGTGGGTGCACTGAGGAAGACTTTCAACAAATTGCTGCATTTTTAGATGATGGTGTGACGCTTACAGCGGAACTCAATGAACGAGCTCGCAACCAAGGCGCGAAGAAGGTAAATGACTTCAAGGAATTCGTGGCGAATGATGCTGAATCAAAGGAGAAGCTTAACGCTCTCAAGAATAAAGTAACGATGTTTGTGCGTCAATTTCCAACCATTGGCTATAGCGAGGAGGACATGAAATACAAGGACTAGAGCAAATGAAAGCAAGCTTTAAACGTTATTGTTCAATGTGTAAGCGACCGCCATTTCAGCGCACGCGCGACGTTTGTGTCTAGTGCAAATACACTGGAAGATATAACGTAATGGTTTAACGCATATACTTTGAATGTCATGCATCCTATAAGATTCAATGAACATTGTGCGTACATAATAGCTTCGAAGTTTAAAAATTTATTTGATCTGAAAACCTGTCACATACTCACGTCACGTCAAGTCTCATCACTCCACCGGCAACTCGGGCAGAACAGATTGAATCCCTAAGCAATTGGCCTTAAGTTATTTACTTGGAGCCACATACAAGAATGATAATCAAGCATTTAGCAATCTCTGCCCAGTCATTCGTCGTGCTTGGATAAACGAGAATTCAGAAAATCGATTTGAAATTGGAACGACTATGGCTGCATCCCACTACGCTGGTACGATTGTTTTTAATGTGAGTGCCCGTCTTAGCATAAGCTTTGAAGTCATCAAGACGGTGCTGATTGATATAACGGACCAGATCTTGCCAAAAGGTGTCCTGACCATGCGTTGGAGTTTTTCTAAACAGTAAGTATGGAAACCACCGCATCAATGCTGAAAAAGCTGTTAGCGCTGCTCTGTTTGAATGGCTTTACGTATCTTAAAATATGTAGAATGATCTGCGTTAGGACCTATCGGGTTCTGTATTTTTGATTCTGAGCACCAGTTTCTAATGTGGCAATTCCTCTTTATTATCTGCCTATTTGGGCTAAACAAGCTCATTCCTTGAAGGTAATATTACTGGAACAGATAACTGCGTCAGCCTTAAGATGTTGCTAGCTCAACAATTCCAAAACGATGATAGAATTATTCATGCTGCGCATCGTATGCGCGAAATATCATTTGTATAGCTGGTTGACCAAAGGCACATTTAATGGTGAATATAGGTTGTTAAATACCATATTGTGAGCCTTAGATGGCGTGGCTCGACCATCAGTACAATCGTACTCGACTCGACAGGTGCGGCTTTCACCACTCCATTTTCTGTCCAATGGTTTCAGCACAATGACGGCTCGTTTGAGCTGGAGAGAAATGTCAGAAGCACGAAAAGCTGATCGGTGCAAGCGACTAGCGCTGTCTGAGCAGCCAACAGCTCGACATACAGTGCCGTAGAAACTAGCGACTTTTTAAAAAGTATAGTGATTGACAAAAAGTTATGTATGATTACCTTTAAAGGTCACGATTCTATCAAACGGCATCATGTAATTATACCGTAAAGCGCCATACTTTTGACAGGCATAGCTATGTCAGATCTTAATTATAAGATTTTCAGTTTTGAAATCTCTCGTCAAAATGGTTATCAACTCATTATCCGCATAACCTTTTGGCATTTACGGTTACTATAAAAGTAATTTAACGTCTTCAACTGAGAGATTCAATCTACAGCGCGCTAGTTGTACGTAAACGTGGCTGCCATTGATACGTCCCGTTGTGGTAGTGAAAGCCAACTCTGTTTATCAACTCGTCGCTCTCCGCAGGGCCACGCGAACCAAATGCGTATGGCAATGGCTTCACTTTTTGGTCCTCAATCTCCTGCAATAGCGGTGTAAAAATCTTCCAAGCGGCTCGTAGCTCGTCATCACGTACAAAAGCAGCCTGTTTACCACGTAATACATCCAACATTAAGCGAGTATAGGCGTCGGGTAATTCAGTGCCTTCGTAACGCTCAGAGTAGGACAGGTCGAGCTCACTCGAGATGGCTTGAGTTTGCAATCCAGGACTTTTGACATTAATCTTGAGATACACAGCTTCTTCTGGTTGTAGACGAAGTACTAGCTCCTGCACAGGGATCCGAATACCTGGAAACATGTGCTCGACACCAGGAGGTCGGCAAAATTGTACGCGGATCTCAACCTTGCGCTCGTTCAGAGCTTTGCCAGCTTTCATGATAAACGGCACGCCAGCCCATCGCTGGTTGTTTACGTACATGATGGCAGTGGCAAACGTAGGAGTTACTGAATCCTTGGGTACAGTTGGATCTTCAAGGTAACCAGGCTCATTACTTTTTTTGTCGCCTTGATATTGACCTAAAACCGTGTTTTCGAGCTTGATAGGTTCAATACAGTTAAGCACTTTAACTTTCTCGTCGCGAATGTAATTGGAATAATTTTCGCCAGCAGCAAGCACGGGTGGTTCAATGGCTATCAGCGTCAGTACTTGTAAGAGGTGATTCTGCATCACATCGCGAATAATTCCAAAGGAATCAAAATAGCCACCACGACCTTGTGTCCCAATGACCTCTTTAAACGTGATGCTAACGCTTGAGATATAATTGCGGTTCCAGACAGGCTCGAAAATCGCATTTCCAAAGCGTAGTACAAGCAAATTCTGCACCATTTCCTTGCCAAGATAATGATCAATACGATAGATCTCGTCTTCATTGTATAGTGCACCCATATCCTTTGAGAGCTCATCAAACGAATCAAGGTCGCGACCAAAGGGCTTTTCGATAATGAGACGATTCCAACCACGCGTAGTTAATCCCGCCTTTTTGATACTCGTACCAATCGGAACGAAGACGGTGGGGGGAATGGCAAAGTAAAAGAGACGATTGGCTATGGATGTGCTCTGAGCTCTTTCCAGCCCTTCCATCTCCTTGCTGACCATCCCTACATCTTCAGCCGAGTCATAGTTACCACTACGGTATATGCATTTACTAAGGAAGGCCTCTTTGCGAACTTCAGCCTCGGGTGTCTTCGGCTTAATATACGGTGCAATCTGCGCACGAAAGTCCTCATCACTCTTGTTACTGCGAGCATATCCCACAATCACCACGTGTTCAGGCAGGTATCCCATGATGTAAAGCGCAAAGAGCGACGGATACGTTTTCTTTTTAGCCAAGTCGCCAGATGCACCGATGACGAAAACAGTAAGCGCTGAGCTAAGGAACTCGCACGAATCGAACTCATCTACATTAGGCGAAGAGTTACTCATTGTTGTCGTCGTCTTTGCTGAGAATTTCAAGTGCGTTGTTTAAGAAAAATCTGCTTTTGAGGTGCGAAATCATTGTGAGATTAGCATTGCCATAAACATTAAGCGGTTTTCTTGTCTATATTACGCCTTCGAATGTAAGCATTTCTTTGAATTTTCACCAATCCTAGCACAAACGGCAGTAGCTATACGTCTATTACGACGTTTCCTGCTGGCTTGAGAAACATTAGATTCACTCGATAAATTTGATACATGTCTCCTTCGCACATTAAAGTCTTATACTTTTCTTTACTTAGCAATGTTATTCCAAGCTAATCCTCGGATGCTGAAAAAGCGAGACGAAAATTAAGGTTAGCTATCACAAAAGTAAAGCGTGTTATTTCACAATCAACTTGATCTTCAAATCTCGTCGACTCAGCTCCAGCTTCAATCGCTTTAAGACTAGCGCCTCAGCTGATTCGATCATCGTCATTAATTTCAGGAATCCAATCAATAGAAAATCAGTTCAAAGTATTTGATTGAGGATACTGGATGCCTTACTGACCTTATGGTGGATGATGGCAAGAACGTGGCATGTTGTACGCGTGTCAAGTCACAAAGATAGGGTTGAGAAGTATTGCCTCGATCCTGTGACTACATCGCTGTATAATTGTATATCAACGCTAGGCCATTGTATTCAATACTTTGTAATTAAAGCCACAGGTCAAAGGACAAAGGAACAATGCAGCTTAGGCTTAGTTTGAAATGACTTTATATGTTCATGTTCGTATCTGGATCGTGTAAATTATCCGCAACGTGTTTGTACATCAACATACGTGCTAGTTGTTCAAAAGTTCATCAAAAGGCGATAAACACTTGCGGCGTTCCTTCACGACAACGAGAAAAGGTGATTATATTTCCTCAATGGAGTCGAGATTTTGTCCAGAGGCAGCTTATTGTGTGATCAACTGCACACATTACTGCTTCAGTGTTAGTATCAGCTAGTAAATTCGAGTCATTGAGCTCATACAAACTAATTCTCTTTTCCATTCTGTTTCACTCACAAACATGAGATGCCAGTTTAGCACGTGCAGATCGTATAGCTTGTTATAAGAGTATGGTCCTATTGTCACGGCAAAGTGATTAGTAAATGAGTTCATCATTGTGCCTACTCTGCATGTTTGAGCGTGGGAAAGAGTTAGCTTTTTTCGCTGCTGGTTTCCCAACGTTTATGAGTTAGACCAAAAACTTTTGTGGGTAGTGCTTTGTAAAATTTAATTACAAGGGCAATGACGAGAGCGTCGCGAAAATGAAAATCACAATGCCAGGCTAAGACAAATTTGTAGATCATCAACGGCCCCAGAAGCCATTCATCACTTCCTAATTTGCCTTCCCCCACGCAAGCGTGCAAGAAAAGGCCACCCACCCGACTACGTACAAGCCAAGTTTGTCCGTCGTCCTCCGCATCTGTATTTTGCTTCGGTTGCCTCGACCCCGTTGGTCGCACCTACCTTCGAAGACTCCTCGCGACCTCGCCTCACAACAGCTTTAATTTTGCGGTTACTGCTGCCACCGACTTCTCCCATGTGGGCGTCCCGCCTACTCCACCGTAGGCTACCGCGCCTTTCTACAGACTTTACATTTGTTTCCTGATTTCTTGTGCGGACCGCATTTGATTGAAAGAACGTAAGAACCATCTTTCAAGGGGGTTTACGAGTGTAAAGTTTCTAGTTAGGGACTGCAGTTGCAATACACCGTGTATTTAGGAACACTTTGCGTTGAGTTAAAACTCTCGTGACTTTGTGCGGATCAGCCCTCAGAGCTCACGTTTGCTCTTTATGCAGTAATCGAGCTAGGCGTTTGAGTAAGTCGGATTAGTTCCCTCTAATCAGCCAAGCAAGCCCAATACTGTGGTGCATTCTCCTCACTGGTTGCACTGATCCTGCGTTTGCCTTTCGGCCGTTTGAAAGAAGTTGTGGTTGGTTGTTATTCTCACCACAGTCAATCTGCCTAGCGGTACCTAACCATGATTTTGACAGTATTGTCAGATCAATATATTTACAATGGCAAATGCTTCAATCAAGTCGCCGCCGCGACCACCGTCACACCCAATGCCAAGCTCGGCAAATGATGTACGGCGACGCCAATCGCGGCATACGGGACATCAACAACCAGCTGATAGACAACCTGCGCCACGCTAGGTGCCTGGCGACTCTCAAATTCGAAACAAGCCTTGAACTTTTTCTGAACGACAGTTCAACGAATCAAGATCGTCGATTTGTGCACTGCCGCGGTCCCTACGCCAGTGGCTGCAAAAAATTATACGACCTGTGGATTTCGGCTGCTCGTCTCACCACCGAGCATAGGCAGAACGCAATCCAAAGCTCTCTTGCTTCTGTAAGTTAACCTGCTATGGCGAGAGTGTCTCGTTCATCTGTACAACTTACAAGCGTATGCGCGTCAAGGCATTTCGCTCGTATGCACGTCGGATGATGCCTTGACGAGTCTGGGCAACTTGCAGCTTATGGTATGTGGCATCATTTCACGATACAAAAAAATCTAAAGTACGACAAATGGTACTTTGTGGATTTGACACGTCTTCAGAAAGACGTTACAGATCAAGCCATTTACGACTGGTTCGTGCTCAAAGGATCCAAACTTGTTCTGATTACTCCTACGCGCGTGTATGGTCGAGTGAAGTCCAGGGGACGTACTGTATACTTTAACAGTGTGGGTTGTCTTGCCGGGCTTTTTGTATCAATCGGAGCACCTCTTCGAGAGATACATTTCGACTCGGAAGAAAAGCCGTGCTTTGTGCAGTACAGGCCAGCCACGCAAGTTAGATCGGGATAAGCCGCCATCCTTACGGCCTCATCCTCGTCGATCGTCTGACACTTCCGATGCTAGCATGAACGAAAGAGAGGCAGCAGCCGACACGAAGTTACAACCCATGACCCCAGCGAGCCACAACATAGGACACCGGTTGGAATAGACCTAGACTAGCCATCTGCTCATGCTATGCTGACTGGTCGTGTTCTACTTGTACTGGGACAAAGGTGAAGCGCATGATCGTTGATGCCGTTCCAGAAGGCGCACCGGAGTGGATACTCGTTCAGCATTCGCAATACGAGATCATCAATCGCGACGGCGGCAAGTACATGGAGCCGACCGGCCTCTTTCCCTGTGAGTTGGAGCTTGAAGTTGAGGACACCATATACTGGTTTGCTGTTTTCCTGTATCGTTGAATTGCTATGACATTCTTTGGGATGAGGGATTTGATTCGACCCTCCCACCTGATGTTGATCTGGAAGCTGGTGAGCGAGACAGGGATGATGATGGAATGATCACCTCAATATCTGGCTTTACTGCTTCGTCTGACGTTTCACCGTATGAGGAGGCTCGTACACTGAAAAGTGTTCGTACCCTCGCTCTTAAAGTGGAACAAGTTTCGATAGATTAACTTCAAGATGTCATCGACGAGTTCATCGAACAAAATGTTTTCAGAAAGACATCGCACAAGGCGTCCTGGCAGCTATCCCAGCGCAACCTGCTTTTTTTCGACGCATCTTTCAGCTTCCTTCCAGTCGTCGAGACAAACAACTTCGAGCGCACGCGGTATATCGTGCAATCAGGGTGGAATCTGTCGCTTGTAGTGGATCTTTGGATTCCCAAGTTTCTCAGAAAGAATTCTATAGCAAAAACTCATTTGATGCTACCATCTTTTTCGAAACTATGTTTCCAAGTCGTGAAGTTCAAGTCGCTGCGGTACACAGTGCCATCAGTGACTTGTTCCTGATGGTGTTTGCGTCAAGTATATATATCGATCAAGTGAAAATCCAAGCTTTTCTTGGACTATAACTGCCCCCCAAACGTCTTCTTCACTCTCCGTTTTTGCTCTTGAATGACCTCAATCTATCTGTCTGGCTCGGACTGATGCGACGAAGATCTTCATTAACGACAATCGTACGCCCAAGTACGTACTTGAGGCACTTGACAATTTAGCAACTATTTCGCTGCCTAAAAGAATTGCTAAAATGCTCTCTATGTTGATGGACCCTCACCTCAAGAAAGGCTTGGACATTTAATAGTGTCTCGCTGAACGCGAATGGGTTAAATACAGCCAAACTCGACACGTATCCGCGACTTCTCTTGAAACATCAACTGATCGCGTTCCAAGAGACAATGATCAACAAAAAAGACTCTCTGCATACCAGCGGACATCATATCCACGTTTCTGACTCAGGAACGTATTGCATTTGGTCCGACACCACGTCTCCTGTCTTCAGCGCGAGACATGGTGTAGGCCTGACATTGTCATCGGCCTCATCGTTTGGCGAAGTTGAGGACCTCACTAGTCAAGTCAACAAGGACCAATTACGCAATCGATATTTATTACTCAAGTCCACGCTTGCTACTCAGACGGTGTATATACATGTCGTTTACGCACCTGATGAACCCCCGCGAGGTGGCGATCTTTTTCGTGCACTTCCCACTCACTTCATTCTCAACGACTCGGATGAGAGCGGCCAAGCGGCACACATTGTCATGGGTGACTTCAACGTCACAATGGACTCTTTTAGCTTCACCTTCCCTGTAACGGGGTTACACGTACCCTGGTAACAGGTGTGTGTGTCACACGAGATGAGCATGGTGTGACTCCACCCAAATTAGAATACGGTCCGTGGTTTTGTAGCCAGTAGTTAGGCATGTATTTAGATTTTACTATATATATATATATTTAGGAAAAGCTGGACATTTAAAATTAGGCGGCTTTGCCGCAGATAAAATAAATAAACTTTACATTTTAGACAGAAGAGTTTATTAGCCTTGGGTTAAGGTTCTAACTACTCTTGGAGGTAGTGGATTGCGATTCGCTACACTCGTACTGGTTCTTGTAAATAACGTAGGGTCGGTGGCCTAAATTAAGTTTCCTCTAAGCGCAAAGCTACGGCAGCCCCGCTGCATTCCCGGTTGCACCCGGGCACTGGTAGAGAGGAACTAGGTGATTGGCCTAACGCGTTGGG